CCAGGGAAGAGTTAGGAGGAGGACTGGGAAGAGACTGGAGTTGAGAAACAGAGGATGTGAGAAGAAATGCGAGGAAGAAAAATATAAGAAAAGAAGGAGGAGTGAGTGGAGACTGGATAGGTTTCATTCAGTCAATGGGAAATAAGCGTTTGACATTTTTCATATTTCTTCTAAATTTGGGCTTTTTCTGCTCGGGCAGCTGAGTGGACAGCACACTCAAATAGCATGTGGAACTGATTACACTGAAAGGAAGGAGGAAGAGGCTCATTATTTAAGTATCAAAGTGCACGCACACACACACACACACACACACACACACACACACACACACACACACACACACACACACACACACATAGTGTTCAACAAGCATTTTAGCCTTTAAGAGTTCCCATCAGGAACACCATTAAAGTCATTGAACTTAAGATTTATTGACACTTTTGTATGTTGAAAGTTCATCAGCAAGTCAAATGAAATTGTAGAAAGATGATTCATATGTAACTTTTGAGACAGAGCTGGTCCATAGATTTCACTGGGGTGACTATATTATTACATACCTTCCAATGGCCCCGAAGTCTAGTTTTGAGGCATCGGGCATTTCACTGCTGAGCACTTGGCTCCTCATCGTCCGTTAGCATGTGGACGCAACTATGCTTTCATGACCTTTTGACAGCAGTCGTACGAATAATGGATACAAGTGTGAATGCAGGAATTTGTTTACACTGTCTGAGTCACGGCAGCATGGATAAAATAGTCCACCCCACATCATCATAAATGTGTCCCGTGTCTGTTCGTCAACTCCGTGAACCAGCAAATTGGTTTGCTAACTGACAAACAGTTGACCAAATTAATTACAACACCCCTTTTTTTTCATTTTTCCTCACACATTGGCCTTGGTGGAGGTATACACTCTACTAAGTGATATTATAGTTGTCGTTAAAAAATGTAATAGTGATTTAAATTACTAACGGTATAGTTACTGCACCTTCATTCATTTGATGGATTTCTCAGAAATTTGCTTGTTAAATCTGAACCTCTGAATCTCTTTGTAAACGCATTCACTGTGAACCACGCAAAACGCTAGACTAGCCTTGGCTCTATTTTCATTCATTCATTCATCTTCCGAACCGCTTAATCCTCACTAGGGTCACGGGGGGTGCTGGAGCCAATCCCAGCCGTCTTTGGGCAGTAGGCGGGGGACACCCTGAACCGGTTGCCAGCCAATCGCAGGGCACACAGAGACGAACAACCATGTGCACTCACACTCACACCTAGGGACAATTTAGTGTGTTTTCATGACTGGCATAAATCCGGCACAGTGCGTAGGCCCAAATTTCACAGATGAGTGCAGGCCAGGCGGATTTGCCAGTGGGAGGAATGCGCCGCTGCGGGAGTGGTTACAGCTGGTTCCATTCATAGCCAGTCAAAGCAGCTTTTTTCATTCCTTGCAGTGTTCTAGTCACACACAAGAGTCTCGACATCGCGGAAGCACATCTGCGCCATCAAGTGGGCACTTGCCTGTGCTCTGACCAAATTCTCAGAAATCATGTTGAACCATCTGCCGCAGTATATAGACACGGTCTGCGCAGGCATAAGTTTAGATGACACTCTACCATCAAATTGTCACTCTCCAAGGACGCACCCGCGTGTAGTGAAACAGTCTGTTGTAGCTTCAAAAGTGAGGAGAGTAGTGCCTTGAAATACAAATGGCTTCACTTTTTTGAACATTTTCAAACAAGCCGTCACTTGACAATTTTTATTTTTGTCTTGAGATAAGAGCTGGTGATTTCAGATACGAGTGTGGAACAAATTCATCTTGTATGTACATATTAGGCTTAAGGAACAGTAGCTGACCTCAAAGGCCTTTTTTTTTTTTTTTTAACTGCTTGATTTGTAGATTTCGAGTTTGTTTCCTTCGTTGGCTTCCCACTATTTTCTCCCGCTTATCACAGGTGAGGTCAAGCTTCTCACAGCCGGATGGAAGAACAAGCAATCATTCGCACTCAGGTTCAAACCTGTGGAAATTTCAGATTATTTCATTCTTCAAGCATACGTGTTATTTGTTTTTTTTTTGGAATGTGGGAGTAAGCCCGAGTACCCGAGCTGAGATTTAAAGACAGAAGCTCTTGGTTTGAGGCCAACCACACGCGCAAGCGATGACGATGTCATCTCAGCCAGAAGAAAGGCTATTGATGCTGAAAAGTTTTACCATTCATTTGAATTACAGCTTGGGTTTCACAACTTCCAATGGTCATGGAATGAGTTCGGCTCGCTCGTCGAAACAGTAGTCCACACAAAAAACATGTCATTTACCAGCTTTTTTTTCCTTTTTTTTCTTCACCCTTTCATGCACCCTGTAACCAGATAACATGATCAGCTGTCTGCTGTAGTAGCCGCTGTCCCTGAAAGGGTTAAAGAGTCCAATGAGTTTGTTTTGTGCAAGTGGAAGCAATAATGAAATATGATGATGATGATGATGAACAGCACATGAAGGTGAAAGGAGAACCGTGTTGGATGTTTGAGACAAGTGGAGATGAAGTGAGGAAGGAAGTCAAGTGGGAACACGCGTCTTCATGTGTGCGGAGAGAGAATGTTTCAAAAGACAAAGAGGGAGAATGTAAATGAGATGTCAAAACATACACAGGGGAAGAAATGAGATCCACGTTTTAAAATTCGGTTAAGGTGCGAAAAATGTAAAATCCTCCATCTTCTCATTCATCCCAGCTCAGCGCGACACGTGGAAGTCAAGGAGGGCCGACGTCGATGGATGAGCGAGCGAGAGCTGAACAAGCTCTTCTCTCCGTCTGCTGTCTTTTGTGTCTTAATAAGGTAATGTTTGGACATGCTTCACTGTTTACTGCGGTTTAACAGACTGGGCCATTACAGATGGCAGCCAACCGTGGACACACACATGTACACACACGCACACACACACACACACACACACACACACACACACACACACACACACACACACACGGTACACTCATGCCGTCACACACACAATGTGGTGTCCTCCCTCATATGGAAGAAGAAATTTAAGAACAAGGTAAACATGTTCTTTCTATTCATCTGCCGCAGATGACACCAAATCCTTTTAGTAAAACAAGATTAGGGTTGGTGATGTGGCCTACTGGTTGACTGGTTAGCACGTCAGAATCACAGGGCAGAGGTGCAGGGGTTGATCCCGGCTTCGGCCTTCCTGTGTGGAGTTTGCATGTTCTCCCAAGTGGCTGCGTGGAAATGTGGAAAGGTATATGAGACATTACTGAGTGTTGAGTCATTTTTATATGCAGTCATTAATTACGTAAAAGTAAATAAAAAAGGTAGGTCATCCACTACATGTTATTTATTTGACACATTGTTTTACTTTGGGCACATTGTGGCTTAGCATTTTGGTTTCAGAGAGCCAACTGGGACAGTCAACGGACTCACACAAGTTGGATATCGTTCATGAACTAAATGGACTGAAGTATCGGTACACCTGACCGCATCCAGAATTAAAAACGGAAGAAAATTCAGAGGTGGGTTACATCTTGGAACTTTTGACACCATGTCTGTAAAAGTTGATTGTGAAAATGTTTGAAGGGCTCTCAAGTTCTTTTACGCAAAATTCATTCCACCATTTCTGCTAGCTTGGTGCCCTGGCGAACAGTCGTGGTGGAAAATTGAGCCTCTATTTTTACTGAGTAGATGGCTTTTGGAGTAATCTCAAGCTTGCATCAACTTGTTTGTAAAAAAATGATTCCGTGCGAGATTTTGCAGGTCAGATTTGTCAAAACTGTGTCAAAATAAGGTGACTGTTTTGTGTCAAAGGAAATTCAAATGACAAGGCAGCGCTGTGGACAGTTTCACTCTGTTTACATGGAACGACAGCAGCAGACCAGTCTGCTACTCTCGAGTATGCGGATGTCTTTGTCTCCCAAATTGTCAAAGCAGGAAGCGCGGCGATCAGTGGCGTCCAACTTCGAACAACGTGTACAGGTGTCCCATCTCCGGCTTGCCAGAGGCCTCCGCTGCTCTGTAACTCGTCTGTCATTTTAGCTATTATTGGAGCAGAAGATGCGGTGGCCAAAATTCCATGCTCAGCATGCGCGGGCAGCGGAATCACGGCGACAACTGTTTTTTGCTGTGACGCAGTAACGTAAGGCAGTACTAAGTCTTCGTACCCGTTAAAAGTCTCAGGAACACGAAGCAAGTGTATTTTAACCTCGAGGCGAACGGATGCCATCTTTTTTTTAATGCATGTCCGGTTTTTATTACAGCTTTGCCACAATTTGTCTTGGAGCTCTTATTTTCCAAACGATGGGCTTTCGGCGATTGATTTTTTTGTCAGAGCAACTGCATTGTAATATATGTGACAAGAAAGAGAAAAGTTCATTTCCTGCTGTTTTATTTTCTTCATAATGTGAAATAGCTTTTTCTTATAAACATATAAACAGCATGGAGGAACATGACTATCTACAATGTCTGTACAATTCAACAAAAAAAATATATATATATCGCAAAACAAAAACAATGGGTGGGGATGGATTTTTCTTTCTCTGTCACTCTTCATCACAAGTTTTATTTGTTGACATTTATTAACCCCCAACCCACCAAAAAGCTAACCACCACTGACAAATTTCATACTGCAAATTGATCATGTCCGATTGGGTAGAAGCGGTGTGCAGGATGAGTTTCAACCCAACTTCACGTAAAAATGCCCTCCTGGCCCTGACGCCAACTCACTCGTGACTATCAAGGCGCTGAAAGTACCTCAGAAAAATTCAGGATGAGATGTGGGGAAACCCAAGGCCCTCACAGAAAAAAAAAAAAAAAAATCAGATCCAATTTTAATTCCAAACTTCTCCTTTGCAGATTTGGGTCTGAGCAACATTGAGGCACGAGGGACAGGCAACAGTTAAGTCATGAAGTGACTACATTCAAACTTTTAGCTGACTGTATGGATGCAGTGCACTTACATGCAGGAGTCTACAATTGTGTTCCTTTCTAGTGCA